GAATACTTCGTACACGTATAATTTGACATGGTCTTTTGGGAATTTGTTGTCATGGTGTGCAGCGTTTTTCGTCTGTTTTTTAAAATATAATATCATATTATACGTCATGTTCGCCGAGTGTATAAAACACTAAAACTCCGCTTCCCACTCAGTAAAATACACCTGTGCAGTGTATGACAAATAATAGGAACTCTCAATTAAATCACATCCGGCGTTGGTATAATGCATAATGGCTGTGCGCAGTTATGTGTGGTATCAATTATATTTATCAATATTACAACTTTAGTGTTTTATTATACTCCTGTATAGCTGTATAAGAGAGATGCCGTTGCGGCCAAACCGGCTCACTTTATTTTTCATGTCTGCGGAATCTTGCTAGGTTATTTTTTATAAACATTTTTTTGCGTTGTTGTCGCGTACGATTGCGTTTGCAAAACCGTTACGCCGGTAGTTCGCAACCACCATGTTCATTATTGGCGCTCATTTAGAGACTAACCACTGTTATATATAATTATTGCGACAGTTATAATGATTATTGCATTAGTGATTGTCGCACGCACGCAAGAAAACGGTTCGAAAATCGTTTAAACCGACATCATCGTCGGAATTTATGATCCACGCGGGCTTAACTCCAATTAACGTTATATACACGCCATTACGCGACGACGACGTTATTAAACGGTCTTATACGCGTATACTATTAATTATTATTTACTGCTAGATATACAAGTAAGACTTATTCAGGTTACTACAGTTTCTTGTTGTTGATCACCCATATAGTATGTGGTTATGCAAAAGATACCAACCGATTATGATAATATTATTTTATTTTCGATGATGCACTATATATTATACCTAATATATTAGTGTGCATATTATATTATATGTAATATACAATTTTTTCCTAATCACCCGTCATGTTATTTTAACTCAAACTTAACTCAACATGATCTTGCCTTGTAATTTTGTTTTGACAGTAAAGTATTATTACTGTTCTTATAAGTTTATGTGCGTTTGATATCAGTAATAATGGTCATTATCTTAATGCGATATTATAATAATGACAATAAATTAACACTACATAATTAATCAGTTTTTGTTTTTAATTCAGTTTAATATCGGTATTCGTGTAAGTATTTATGTTTTACGATAAACGGACTTTCGATAAGTGAAGAAAACATTAATATAATATAATATACTCGTATACCTTCATTATTTTAATACATAGTGATAAACAACTGTGTGTAGTAATTTGTATTTCAACTCTTCTTTGCAAAATTATTTCAAATTATTTCGGTAATCTGTAATGACATGTGATTTTTTTTATTGTAATTTTTTGCGCAAATTCATTTAAAATTTTTATTATTATAGTTCACGTTTTTATATTATAAAATTGTATATTTACACTCGGATACTGAACAATTCTAACGTCAACAAACAATAAATATTTATAAAAATTGATTAACTTTTTTAGTTTAAATTAGTTCAGTGTTCCAAATAAATACGTTGGATTAATTATATTATAATAATAGTGTATTCGTTCGAGTAGTCGTTGAAGGTTCCCCGGGAGACATATAAAAGTCTAACCATGAACGGCCACTATAACACTAATAACTAATAATATATAATACATTAAACAGTTGTTAATAATTATTCAAGGTCCTTATGATTTCTTGTTTCATTGTATTTCGATTGATTTTCATCTCGATTCGTGTACTATGTGCAGTTAGTACTTGTAATAATTACAAGTTATATTACAACGTTTTACAATTTTCAAAGAAATATTTTGAGAGATTGTCAATTGAGCGCCAAGTGAGAATAAGACATGCGATGATAAGTAGTAACACGACTTGACATGACGTGGTTTTTAAAGGTTTCTATCGAGCGAATTGGCTAGCTTTATAGCTTACGAGTTTCATTCATTTTGCGTCTGGAATAACAAACACCGTGAGGGAGGCAATTGTTTTTATATTGTATTATTTGATTGTCGGCAAATCAGTGATCGATCTCGTCGAAAAACTCCCGTCACGTCACCCATCTGGATTTCATATTCTCCCCTCGCGTCTCGGGGACGGCGACACACCCACGATATTGGATTTTCAGCCGGCTATCGGCCTGTACTAAAGTATAATGTATTATTATATATATTCGTGTACTACAACGCAATTGCCATACCGTCTGTAGGCTTTGCAGTTAGCTATGCGCATGCAAATTGGTATCGACGCAAAACAAAAACTCGTCTACTGAGATCTGTTATGCTGGAGATATGATGGATTTTAAGCTATTTCGCTACCGGGTCTTTTGTACTTGTGGTTGTGTCTCGATCGATTCATTTTATGTACAGTGTATTGTAATGTGTAAACTAATTTAATAATATATAAGTATGGACACTATCATACGATGATAGCGGTCCCACCTGTGCAGTGCTTCGCCACAAGGTTACGTGTACCTACTGTTGGGCCGTGACACGGTCGGCTGCTGTAGACGCGGCGGCTCACGTTCGAACGTCAACGATCTTTATTTTATTACAATATTGTTAAATATTTCAGCAACTATGATTTATCTGAATCACGTGTCTGTTGTAGTTGCTTTATGCTTTATGATATTATTATTATTAATATTATATTGTCACAGTAATCGAAAGAACACGTTGATTTTTGTTTATGGTTAATATATATTACACTATCTCCGTTTTCTGTGTCACCACAATATACTAAATAGTTGAAAATATTCAGATACTCTGCGTTGGATTAGGTGATTATTTAAGTTTGGTTATTATAACGACTGTAGTGAAATTTTTTATCGAAACAATTTTATTTAGTTTGGTGATTAAAAAAAAAAAAATAATATTTAAATGCGGACCACATGATCACACTATTCACATTAAATACAAGAACTGTGAATATTGTAATAATAGTACCTATTTATGTAGGTATTATAACGGTTCGCCAATGGTAGTCGCGTGGAGAGATCATAACGCCATTATGTTGACGTTGCAGTGTCTATTCTATATCAGTTCCGTCGGTCACCATTAGCCCGCATGCTGTATTATTATACTCACACGAGTAGGTACTCGATGCCGACTTTTTAATTTCGTTTGCCCTTTCGATTCTGCGGAACCATTCGCCGCCGCCACTCAAATGTCAATCGTGAACCGGAAACTTTTTTATTATAGTCATTTTCCCCTCGATCAATTTACGTATAATATACACAAGCATTACTCGCGGACGTCGTATTATTTTTAACAGATCGACTTTCTCGACATCATGAGAAACGTCGTCGTTTGAAATATTTATCTTAATGGACTTATTATTATATATTTATTAGATATATATTATTTTATTATAGAGTATGAGTGTAATATACTTATACTGCAATAAACGCTCAAGTGTGTTAAATTTCGCCGACTCGTCGTGTTTTTGAGAAATTGTAAATAAAGAAAACGAATTATATTAGTTTATGATATTTTTGTTGTTACTTATTATTATATTATATACTACATATATATTATAAAACGCGCGTAGGATATTCAAGGCAAAATCCGCTTGCTGCGACGCTCTATTTAACTTTTGCTCCTGCTAATAAATTTATATATGATTATTATTGAACTCAATGACTAGACATTATTTTAAAAGTACTAATTTTACCATCTTTGTCATTTATTATGAAGACACTTGCCCGAACCAATAATAATGACCGTCTGTACTCGTTTTTTATTTTTCTACTCGTTAGTCACTTAGTCACGAGACGTTAACATTTTAAAATGGTATAGTGACGTACCTATAATCTATATGGATATATTCGTTTAACGTAATACCAAATTTAAAATAAACGAGTTAATTCGATTATAATAATGTATTGGCACCTATTGTACGATTTTATTTACTAATTTTAAAAACTGTAAAAAAAAATAACAGATATTAAACAATTACTTCTATTTTTGGTTTTATACGGTTTAAGTGGCTTAACGTTATTAGAAAGTAAAATAGGTAAGATGAAAGAAAATTTTATATAGTGTTTTCATAAGGTGTTTATTACGATAATAAATGTAAAATTATTCATAAATTCTAAAAAAAAAAACTCTCACTGTAAAATACTAACTATGATATTATACTTTAAAATCATATAAGTATCAGCTGTCAAGATTTATATGTTGATACAATATAAATGTTCTTATACAATTACATTCTAAAAATATACCTCAGGTTCAACTTCGCGTTAAAGATTGTATCATTCTTTTGTACGTTTAAAGTGAAATATTAATTTCTATTTCATTTTGATCTTTACTTATATGAATTATAAATATATTATGTTATTCTATTATAGTACTTGTAGACCAGTGTTAAAACGTTTATTTGAATATTATCATTAACTTTTTCCGATTTTACATTATTATTATATATAATATTTTATTTACTTTAATGAAAATCAAAACAAACTCTTACACTATCCTAATGCTTATATAGTTATTCAATTAAAAGCGATTAAATATATATAATATATAATATCTACCTTAGAAAATGCAGTAAATGAATGATGTATAATGTTAGAAAAACTATAAAACCATGAAATACTGTACAATTTACCATAATAATATTTAAAATGTTCACACAAAAATTATACTTTCTATTATCTATTTCAGGGTACCTACATTAATATTATTTTATAGAATAATATTCCTACACAAACTTTTTTTTTTATTAATAAAAACGAGTTATGGGTTTGTGCTGTATAGTTTATTAATATTCTGGTTATAGGAGTAATAATTTTTGTTTATTCATAGATAAATGAAAATAACTGACAACAGTATGTTAAATTAAAACTTAAAATATATACCAAATATTGTGTAAGGTTTTAAGTGATTTTTTAAATTTCGTTATGTTTTCAACACACAATTTTTTCATGACTAAATAAATATATTTTATGTATAATTAGCTACGACTTTACAATATCATGTAATGTTGTTGTTTATTTTATAAAAATTATTTTCGTGTTTGCAGGATTATGGCAAATAAAAAATCTGAAAAAGTCGTATGTATCATTGTCGTTTGTTTTAAAACCAATTGATGAAATACAATGTCACCAGAAAATGTATGCCCGAGATTCAAACAAAATGCTTGGAAAAAAGAACTGTGCTCAAATTGTTTTCGTCCGAAAGAGGAGCACCCCGAGAAGCCCAAACGGGTACATGTTGACTACAAACCACTACCAGAAATATCTCCAGCTCAGGTAAACGTGGCTCCTCGTTAAATGTTACAGCCCGAAGTGTTGTACATTTATTTTTGTACCCATAACTCTATGCAATATATTTTCTTACTCATATTTTTTTCACCGCAGAGTATATTGAAAGTAAATGGTTCGTGTGACAAATCCCGGAAAGTTTCGTTTTCGATCGTTGAGACTGAAGTCATCGGATATGGTGGTGAAGAGTACTCGACCGATGAAGAATATTCATCGGACGAAGAAAACGGTTCGGAATTCATTGACTCTGGTGACGACGAAGAGCTCAAAAGACTGACCGAAGCCAACACGAACCTAAACAGCAAACCCGACATTGTATCCGAAAAGGTCGTTGTCGGAAGTAATGTTGCAAAAAATGCGATCGTAGCGGTAACGGACAACAAGTCACCCGTGAAAAAACCAATGGTACAAAACAAGTCAACACCGCTGGTCACTATTCAGCCGTTCTGCGGGGAATCGCCTAAATCGCTTGTGTTCAACTTCCTAAAGAACAAAGAGATAGCTACGGTTGCTACTTCCGCCGCCCCTGTAGCCACAGTAGCAACGTGTGAGGAGGTACAAAAAATTGAGAAAAAAGATACTGAAAACGTTCAACTAAGAAAGACTGAAACAACGAAAAAACCGACTTTAACTAGAAGCTCGTTGGTGGCCAATTCCAACGAACCATATTTAAATATTAGACGGTGTAGTTTACCGGCGGAGGAGGAAGAGGCGAAACCGACGCCGCCGCCGCCAACGTCAATGTTGACGTTGACGAACACAGAAATCCCAAGAGCGAAACTTGTTCATCAGCCAGAAACAGTTGCACCCGTCGAAAAATTAAATGGTGTGGAGGAAACCACCGAAGTTGTTTTGTCGACGAGAGAGTCGGATGTTGATGTAGCGGGTGGTGGCACGGCACCGTACAAAACGAGAAATAATGTTCCACGAATGGGTACAATGCACTTTAAACTGAAATTAGCTGTGGCTTCATCTCAAAAACCAGAACCATTAAAACCAATCAATAGTAGTGCTCCCGTCGATCCCCCCCAAGATTCTTCGTTATTGACCAGCAGAGAAATGGCTGGTGAACCCGACGGTAAAGCCGACTCCGACGAGCCAGGAGATCCGACGACCACCACAGTGAACCGATCGTTCCTCCATAACTTCAAAGACCATTCGTTACCCTTGCGAGACACCTCTACCACACCTCCAAGGACGCCCACCAAAAAGGTTAACAATCTATCATTTTTTTCCTGCTTTTTATAGTGTAATTTTTATTTTTCTATAGGTTTCAATATTAATTGATTCCAAAATTTATATTTTCCGTTTTTTCGCAGTATTATTTTATACTTATTTATAAACATTTTTGTTTTAGACTTCAATTACCAGCAACAGCCCACCCGAATGTCCCAGGAGTATCAAACGCCAAGCTCCGAAACCTCCTCCGCCGCCGCCGTCATTGACAATGGCCAAGAGTGCTGAACTCGCTTATCACAGTGCTAATAGTTCGTTTTCTGACGACGAGTTCAAACCTGACAACGTTACCATCACAAACCGCAAGCTGTTGGCTGAATACTGCGAACAAATCGAAAAAGAACAGTCGCAAAATTGTGGCAGTGGTGGAAACTGTGAACGACCATCATCGGCGGCTACTGTCACATCCAATGGTGACCCGGTGCGCGAATCATCCACGCTCCCGTTACCCGGAAAACGGCCTGCTTGCGAAAAGAAAAAGTATGGTAAGGCAACCAAAGTGGGTCTTAAGATCAAAAAATTTCTCAGAATACCCAGTCGGGAATCAACAGTCGCCTCACCGCAGCAGCCGTCTACCAGGCCCAAGCTAGAAATTATTCATCCGCTAGACATCAACAAATCTGGAGTGGAAATTATACATAACTACGCTGTTGACGGACTGCTATACACAAAAGAGCCGTCTACCAAAGCTCTGTCCAACCATCATCCAGGTTAGCGTGATAATGCTATTTAACCTTTTTTTATTTGTATCCGGTCTTCAAATCGGATGTTTGTCATTCGTATCTAATCAACTAACATATTTGATCGGATTCCGCATATCGTTAATTTAAAAATTCTGTTATATTAAGTATTCATTTCTACCAGCACCACTACTACGTATTTAGTTATCTGCTGGTTATCATCTGACCTTTTCAGCGATTATTTTCATTTATAAATATATGTTTTAATTAATTTCCCTTTATTACATTTTTAATCAAAGTATAATTAATTTTAAATCATTTATTAGCTATGGCCTACCTATTTATTGTATGTGCTTTATTATATCCACATAATCTATTTTGAAACGCTTAAATAACAAGTTCATTTCATTTTTTTAAATCAATAAACTTGTTGTACATTTATCAAATTATAGAAAAAATTATCATTCTCTCCTAACTTATTAAATATACATTTGTTAAGGTGTATTGCATAAATTAAATATATCAGCTATATAATGAATGTATATTATATAATTGTACATGGGTACCTAATTAGTAATTAGTATTTATAAATTATAATAATTAAATCAGCTGTTGACCTAATTCGTAATGATCGTAGCAAAATTTGTGTTTTGATAAATTACGTGAAACTAAAATTTGCTTAGTCCTAACTCTATTTTATCAAATTTCAATCAAATTCCAATGATTAAAATAGTCCTTTCTATTTTTTATTCAAATAACTCGTATGTATTATATTTCTCTTGAATAATTGAACATTTCTTAAGTATAACCTTTACTATATTTAGGTCAACCTTCACGTAGTATATGCTAATTTGAAATTTTTTTTTATTTAATACCTGTTAATATTTATTCGATGTCGATGTTTCTATAAAATAGCATACGATGTAAGTATTTAAATTTAGTCATTTTAGTACATTATTTACTTATTATTTTCACCCTAAGACAAAATTAAATCAACTTTCTCGTTTTCAATTAATGTTGGTTCCTCTTTCATCATCATGTTTGTATTATATATGTTTAATTGTTCTGCATATGTAAAACCATTGGTTAACTAACTATAGTTTTCACTAATTATTTACTGATAATATGTTATTTTCTCTATGCAGTATTCCACCCACATTATTATCTTTTAATAAACTAACTTGTTGTCCCGTTCATTCCGGTCGCATAATAATATAGTGTTTGAAATAATGTTTAGCACGACCTACAAAACCACCGCCGCCGCCCAGAAGTCTTCCGCCTGTTACAAAGCTGCCACTAAAGTCTGTCCCGTCTACGGAAATCGCAGATTACCCTGACGCGCCGAAAACATGCGATTCAAGCGCGTCCGACGAAACTTATGAACCTGTGAATTTTTCGGCACCAGAGTGTGACCACAGTTCGCCGGAAATGGCGCGACTAACATCAATGCAATATTACGGTAGCGAAACCGAGTCGGATATATATCCGACCATCCAGTTTGGCGATGACGTAAGTTATAATAGTATATTATTATTAAATTATATAAGTTTTATTCACAAACCTATATACCAATACGTACCTTAATTTTTTATTGTTTAATAATAAATGTATGCTAGTTCCAATTTTTGGAATTTTCGAGTTTTTTTTTTTCATTTGACTACCAATGTTTTTACTACGTATATAAATTATCAAGGCGATAATATTTTTAAATTTTCGAAATCAAAATTTGAAGCAGTAGGTAGTTTCTGAATTATTAAAATATGTTTGCTAAAGATAATAATTCTTAAAAATGGTTATTAAAAATATAAAACAACTGCTCAGTTTTTAGTTAATACCACCAAAAACATTCCTTTTACTTTAATGAAAATTTAAAATAAAAATGTTTTTTTTTTAGTTCGGAGCCGAAGACAGCATTAGGAACACTCAGCCTGGACACAAGAGTCTCGAAGAGAGTTACGACGCCGTCGTAATCGCCAATCACGAAGCCTTGACCAAATTATTGGATCAGGTAATTATTCTCGCTACTATTATACGAGGTGTATGTCGTGAGGATCTTCCAACGTGTAGATAAATACTACACTTCCGTGTGTAAAATTGTAATAGTCAAGTCCTCACAATATAACACCCTTTTATTTGCATATTATACACTATATTACTGTGCCCTTGACATATGGGACTGAACTAGCGATGTGATTTTATAAAACGTACTAAATCTTTTGTTGTTTTTCATATTTATAAAGGCGACGAGTTGTCCGAAAGTACCTAAAGAGTTGGCGGTGTTGAAGACGAGAAGCTTGGAATGGTCCAGTTTCCATGTAGACCCGACGAGCCGGTTGCAAAAAGCCGGTTGCGCGTTTTACAACAGCAAATGGTACGACGTGCCGGTGGTGTTGAGCATTTCTGGCGAACCAGTCGAGCTAAACATTGTATTGAATAATCATTTCACCATGACCAAAGTGACGGAGTTCGTGACGTGCGTGGAAAAAGAATACAGTCCAGGCCCCGAAAACGAAAAAGGTGTGTGTATACCTATATATTTATTTTATATTCATGTCGTTATGTAGACGGGGAGGGGGAGGTGATATCTGTATATTAAATCGATAGATCGTTGCCATGTATATCGGACTCGGTCCTGGTTCAATCGCGTTCGTTTTGTTTTGGTTTCCTTCCGATATTATGTTAACACTTATGAAAACCGTTAATGGCGATATTTCAGTTTACGTTACGCTGTGGAATGCCCATCACATGGAGGCCATCGAATCGTATTGCAAGGAGTACAACGCCAAGTACGCAGACATTACCAAGGAAGCTGGTCTCATCCTAGTGGAAACTGTCAATTTGTTGATCGGCTTGCAGGCATCGGACGTAAACCGGTACAGCCTGGAACCGTTTGTAGTGACTAGGAACTGTTTCGGTGCCGACCCGACCGTGGCCATGGTTCAACTGGAAACCGATTTACAGGTAAAAATAAAACTCGAATAAATTTTTTTTTAATTTATAGCCATTTTACTGGGGGATTTGAGTGATTTGACAATTTATTAGTTGTAAGTACACTCATATATATTATCTTTTCCAGATACATTTTACACGAGTGTAGGTACCTTTACTGCGACTTGAAATCGTATATAATTTTATGTATACATAATTTGTGTGCTTTTGCAGGAAGCGAAGGATACGCTTTGTGATATCATGCTCAAAGTGCTCAGACTGCTGGCGCCTACGTGGGAGATGACCGTGTGCCTGTCGCAAGTGTTGCGTCAGGACCGGCCCAACTCTTTGTCCAAATGCAAGGCGCTACTCGAGTTCTGGCTGTGGGGTCCGACCGGAGTGACAGTGTCACCCGACCGACCGCTGTCGCTGAAAAGGTAACCATCACCATCTCTACAATCACTTAACCCTAACCACCGACCTTTAACCACTATCACCAAACATGCACTACATCTCACCTATTACATATCGAGTGCTACGCCCCGGATTATTGTTACCAGATGGTTGGACCTGGAACGCGCTAACGTCCTGCACGGCCACGTGTGCTCCCGTTCCGCCGACCTGTCCGTCAAGCAGATATGCTACATGTCGTTTTTGGTGGTCAACGACGATAAACTGTTCTCGGACGCATGGACCGTGTTAGCCGATCGCAAGATGCGGCCGCCGCGTGATCCGACGATCTCTAAATGTTAACGGCACAAACGTGTTTAGTGTTGTTTTGTTTTTGAATTATTTCCTTTGGGTATCAACAAATCTCCGAATCATTCTTTTCTCTCCAAAATTCTTTATTTTTTTTTTTTATCATTATTTTATTAAAAGTCTTAACTCTAAGTATAACAATATGATGATTATAGTAGCTAAAAACCGTTTCTGCGCATTCGCGTCTATTATTATTATTCTAGGATAAAAATGACACTATTGAATAAATTATTATTATCTACTAACCCAACTGTTAATTATACTTTACGCGTATTCATGTTTGCTCATTAACTGTTATTATTATTCTAATCTAAATAATATATATTTATCGTGTAGTTGCAAAGTGATTTGCAGCCCAATATCTGCCATGTTAAAATATTAAGTATTTATAATATATTATTTAGTTTTGTTAGTCATAAGATACTTAACGTAAGACATGAGTATTTATTTGTATGAGAAAAGAAATGAAACAAAAAGCTCTCTATTTTGTCAATTATTTTTGTATCAAAAGAAAACCACAAATTTACTCTTTGTGTATTTTTGTGCTAAATTTACTTACCTAATATGTAATTTACCTACTATATTTTTAAACTTTTAATTATATACTTATTTTTTTACATGTTATACACAGTACCTATTTGTTATGCCTAAATGTATTGTCATTTTTAACTTTTCTCTGGTTATAATAATCAAAGATTTTTATTTTTATTAAATGTACATTATAGATATACTATAAAATTATTATTATTATTACAAAAATACAGGTAAAATAAATAAATAAAAACATTTTTTTAACAAAATGTCTATATACTATTTTTCTATAGCATATTAATACCATGCAAGATTTATTATGTGATATCTAAGTACAATTCAAGAGGTACCCATCCAAATTAATTTTCAAAATTTGTTAAAAAGTAATGTGTTTATTGTATGTAAGTGTACACTGTACAATAAATATTATACTAGAAATGATCATGTTAAATATTTAATTTCATTGTTGTTGTCGGTGACTGTAATTTTATCTAAACAGATTGTAAACAATTTGAGTTATGTAGGTAGTTATTATGTTATTATATATAATTGTTATGCTTGATAATATATATTATATTTTATCAATAATATCGCAATACATTCCTCGTGTAAAACTTTCATTCTAGACAAAAACACATTGATTAAATCAGAAAAATAACTAACAAGATGGTTAATGGTTAAAATCTATCAACATTTATTTTTTATATTGTGCTTAATATAAAATTGATTTTTATACAAAAAAAAAAATCACCAAAGCTGCAAAATGTTAAAAATAGATTTATAAAATATTAGTATTCAAATAAAAATAAAATATGTTATTCTGATAAAGAATTTAAAGATTTTTAAAATGTAATAAATATTTGATATAGTCTAATATACTAATAGTATGAATATTAATGAGTTATTGTGAAGACAATATTTTAAGAATTTCAAGAAAAGCGATTTCTCTTTAAAATATTAAATACAATTCATACCCAGGAGAAAATTCAAACTTTATTTGACAAGCTTATTATATTATTAGAGTAATATATTATTTTAAATTTTTACATGGCAATCAATAATATTATTTATAATAAAACATGTTGAATGTATGTTCTATTTTTTTAAATTTTTTTTTTAGTCCATACAATGTTAGGTATGTTTTGATAATTTGTTAATAGTTATATATATATATATATATTATTGAAATTGATTAGTTTTAAACTTTAAACAGTCAGTTAGTCATACATTTTTCCAAATATTTAATGCATTTTGTCCCTTGCATATTATTATGTGCTACATATTGACTGTTCAGACATAACATAGTTAAAATGTTACTTTTAGATTTTCTTATTTGGTGTTTTTTCTTATTTGTATGCTTTACACCACAAGCTCATAAAAATGAATATTTACTTAATATCAGACTTTTTATGGTATCAATAAAATGTCTAATGTACTGAAATAATTTTTTTTTAACATAATATACATGTTAAAATAATGCTATGTATGTACAATGAATATTGACTTATGTGTAACATATTTTTAGATACAATGAAAATGTAATCAATTGGTACTGGACAACATGTTGCATAATTTTGAAAATATATTTTTGTATCTTTGCGGTAACATTATTATTTAATTCTAATTTGTTGTTATACTTAAAACTTTTAAGTCTCAAAACTTCCATACTAAAAATCTGAATAAAATGTAATTTAATTTCCAATTTTAGTATAAAAATGGAAATCTAATAATTAGATAAAGTTAATAAAATAAAATAAAATAAAATAAAATAATTTGTTTGTACATTTAATAAAATGTATGAATATATTTTATTAATGTTTAAAAAACAGACAATTATCACAAGTTATTGCTAAACCTTATTAATAAAGTAATTAAGTATCTTTTAATCTTATTAAAAAATACTTAATTTTTATCTAAACATTGTTGCTTTAAATAACTAATTAAATTACTTAGTTCATAATATTCTAATTTCTTTGTATTAGCTTCATACAGTTCATATAAAGAGGGGTTATCATTTATTTTCTTTCCCATAACAACTACAAATGGAAATCCTAATTTCTTTGCTTCAATTAATCGCTTGCCAATAGTCATATGGGTTCGATCATCAACAACAATATCATCTCCAAATATTTCAGTAAAATGATTATAAAGAGAATTTATATTATTTAGTGAAATGTTTTCCTCTATGCTGCCTTCTTTAGGTGGTATTATGCAGACAGTAAATGGAGATAATGACCGTGGCCATTGGATTATTTCTTGTGTACTCAAACATTCCACAGATGCACCAATTATTCGAGTAACACCTAAACCATAACTACCCATGTATGGAGGTTTTAAAATGCCATTTGTATCCGAGTATGTGGCAGACAAGGCGTTTGAATAAAATGTACCAAGATTAAAAGTGTGACCAACTTCAATAGCCTTTGTAAACTCAATATTAGTACTAGAGCATTTAGGACACTGAACCAACTCTGGTGACATGTCTTTATTCATTCCAAATCCACATTTCTTACATTGCAATAACGTATCATCTCCAACTTCGGATGGATAGTGAAATTCGTGAGATTGATTTCCACCCATCATTCCTGATGTACCTTCAACTAAAACCAAATTCATTATGTTAGTGGTTTGCATAATTTTATGTACAATATATCTCTACCTTTTATAAATTTAACACCAATGTGCTTAAATATCTTTTCATAGGCTTGACACACTCTGTTGTATGTGACCGTAGCACTCGTTTGATCTCTATCAAAAGAATATAAATCTTTCATAAGAAATTCTTTGGATCTGATAATTCCCAACTTGGGCCTGATCTCATCTCTGAATTTTGTGCCAATTTGATACAACATTAAAGGTAACTGCTTGTACGTCTTAGGATCTGAACTAAATAAATCAGTAACGACCTCTTCATGAGTCTGTGCAAATATATATAATAAATCACTTATATAATTAATCATAAATATTTATTACCGGACTTAGTAGGAACTCTTTGCTTTTACGATCATTCACTATGTATAAATCCTGTATGTTTTTGCTTAATCGACCTGTTAAAAATTTAATCAAATATTAGGTAATTGTAAAAATAAAGAAAAATATAAATATGTATATCAGGTTGATAATTCAAAATCAAATTTTATAAACATTTTATTTATATGTTTCATGATTCTAAAAACATTGATGGCACAATTCAATGAATCAATTGTTTAAAAAAAATCTACCAATAATGTAAACAATATAATAAAACACAGTATTGAATATACATTTTGATTATGAAATTTTTATCTATTCAACTTGTTGAATATTGAACAAATTAATCAAATAAAAACAATTAAACAATTTTCCAAGTTATAGCATAATTAATCATAAGAAAATGAAACATTTTTTATGGTAATTACATTAATATGAAAACAAATTTCACTAAATATCTTAAATCTTTTATTGAGTAATGACATAATTGTAATTATTTCCATCAGTCATCACTACAGTATTTTCAAATTTATTTGAAAACCATAGGTATAAATTTCTACAGTAGCACTGTACTCTTATAAAGATATCGTGTTTTACATTTTAGGAACCACTTGGTTAATATATATTTAATGAAAAAAAGAGAACTAAATAATTTCAATCTTTTATTTGAATTTTAATCATTGATTATGTGAATTAAATGAAACTAATATAAATCATACTATAACAAATTATATTAATATCTATTGTATAAACATGTTACGGTAATTTGCTAGTTTAAGTACTAATATCAAAATTTAAAAATTTAAAAATGTTTTTATTAATGCAATATCAACCAGCTAAAATATAGTTATTGGCACTTCTGTCTAAATCCATGAAAATGAATGAGCACAACAAACCTGTTTTTTTCCACAAGTTACTATGTATTAATACTGGCATGGAAATCTTTTGAGCACCAATATCCATCATATTTTTATTTATAATATTAATCAATTTATCTAAAGATCGCTGAGCAAGTGGCAGTAAGTGGTATAGTCCATTGGCACTTTGTCTGATAATACCAAGTTCCAACATCAACTGAAAAATAGAATTGATGGATTCGACTATTATATATATATATATAAAAGACAATAGTATGTAGTTCAAATATAGTGAACTAACTTTTTGACTGTTAGATATAAGTTCATCCGCTTTAAATGAAACGTTTTTCGAAATTGGTTTTGAAGGTCTAAATATATTTTTCAGACTGTTCATTTTGATTTCAAACTTTAAAATATTTTTGTGTATGGCAGTATACAGTTCGTTTATAACCACTAATAAGTAATGAGTTATATACTAAACTAGAACACGAACTGACGAACTGTTTTAGAAATTAGAATAGTTATTAATAAGTTATTTTAAAATTAAACAATATTAATAATATTATTACTATTAATATGCTTGTGAATTTATGATAAGTTATCACTGATAATATACCTAAAAAATCATGACTGTTTGGTAAATTAATTTGAAAGTAAGAAAAATAAAAATGAATGTGTTTAGTCCATGAGTTTATTTCTTGATAAAGAAATTATATTATTATTATGATTGTGATTGACATTGACATTTGTGTTGATAGATCACATTCTTAAAATCATAATATCAATAATTGTACATTGTGTCTTTGTAGTATTGTATAATTATTATAATATTCATATTTCAAATATACAAATTGGTTACATAACTATTATGTAAGTATGTCAAGTTGTGACATAGATGCCTGAAGTTTTGTAATTAAGTTGTTCAATAATATTAAGGTGGCTGATTAACAATGATGTATATTAAAATAAAATAATAACTAAACAATAAATGAGTAAAACATATTTTTATTAGTTAATATCAAACATTAATTTTTTGTAAACAAAACAATATCATATACATGTAATATCAAACATTTTAACATAGTTAATTGAAAAGCTTTTAGAAAAAGAAATAAACAATCCCATAATATGCAATGGAAACAATGGCACAAACATAAAAATAATAATATAACATTACATGATAAGTACACCACCTGCAGACTCTTGTTTTACAGCACCCAATTCATCCAAGAGTCCTGGGAGACCTTCTGGAATCCTGCCTTCGTCGACCTCGATGCACCATGTCCTGTACTGCAAATGATAGATATACGAACAATTTTACAAAACACCGAATAAGACATTCACAACAATGTCATTAGATATTCAACAATAACTGTACAATATTATGATATGTGTAAAATAATAATTATAATAATATACTTTATCCAGTTCCTGTCTCAACGATATAACCGCCTTTTCACGGTCTGTAACCAACTCCTCTAAGTACTGGTACCGTAATTTTTTTCTGGCCCTACATTCCCGAGCGCTCTGCCGGCTCCTCTCTAACATCGTATGAAAAAAAAAACAGAAAATAACGACGATGAACGTTTAGGTCCCACTTGGGATTGAACCTAACCTAGTTTGGCTCTGATGTCCACTTTTTCGCTAGACTTCTTTCCGGGCTTACGTCCCCGTTTGTTGGCTACCGGAGGCGGAGTCGTCGTCGTGGTGCTCTCATTCATCTCCTGCGCTTGTTCCTGTAATACAATCGAACCAACGTCACGTTTAATATTATTATGTTAACATCGAGATGTTGACTGTTGAAAAGTATGAAACTTGCATATCTTACCACTTGAACAAGATTGTCGAAATCTTGAGCGTTCATGAACGATTCCTCGAAATCCATATTGCTGTTGACGTTTGTCGTAGGCCGTCAGTTGACAGCTTTTAACTCTCAAATTGTGTCACAAATCAAAAAACCGCGAATGATGAATATTCAATGTTTATAAACAACAAATCGAGGGACAATGATAAGGGAATAAATAAATAATAATATTAATATTTTCAATTCAGTCTTGAAAATAACAATGTTATCATTACACGAACTACCGATGTTCACTATCGATATTTGTTACTGTAAAATAAAACCGATGTTTCCGCAATAATTACGACGCAGTACGGTATTTTATTCCACAGACTTTAGGAATTAAAAAAATGTAAAAATACACGTTTGAGCGTGTCTGAAATTATATAAAATGATGGTTTTACTTTTTACTATTTTATAAACAACAAGGACTTGCAATTGACAATTACCATTGAAAAACACAATTTTCACATAACATCGAAATGTAAGAACACTATCAATTTACGAGATAACAAAGAAAAATAATATTATTAAGCAAGAACGTTGTGTAAATTAGAAAATTGTTTTGAGTTATTATGACAATAGGTAAACCATAAAATTATAATTTTTAATAATTCGAATTGGCAAACAAAAATAATTACATATTTATTTAACTGTGTATACTGGCTATAAAGCCATTAGCTAGTGAAGTTTATTTTCAATTGATCTTATAAATTGTGATCATAGGTTAGGTACGTGATAAGTAAAGACCGGATTTATATGCATTTTAAATTGTAAAATATGCATGCAAACATGCACTAAAAAAAGTCAAAATATGCAAGGAAAAAATGCAAAACATGCAAAATAAAATTTCAATTTTATATTTGATTTTAATTTTGCAGTGATAATTATTTATTAATTTTATTACATTTTTCATAAACAAAAAGTTACATGTATAATATAGTACAAAAATTTAATTTTTTGTTAAATTGTAATTTAATTTTTAAACATTGATATATTGTAAAAAATATTTTATTAAAATTAAATAGTAGATACATTGGTGATATACTGATATAAATAGGAAAAAAGTACGAACAATTTTATTGAAGGTAGTAAATTATTAATTTGAAAAACAATAAGTTATCAAAGTATGTTCCATGTTTATTTCCGTGAAATTATGACGGCGATCTGTAAGAATGTACTTGTATGATGAAAAACTACGTTCGACATCAACACTGGTGATTGGAGCATATTTAAAATTTGCTATTATATCCAGCGAATAATTTGGAACAGATAAATCGTCGAAATTAGCACTGTCACCTTGAAGTATTTTTGAAATTTCTTTTAAAACCATTAATCCTTTATTTTTATTCAAAACGTTTTTACATTTTGTTTTAATTATTGTACTATTTGCACTAGTAGGAAGTTCATTAACAGAGTTTTCCACTTGTTCTAAAATTTTTAACGAGTCTACAAGGGACAAATTAGAGGTTTCAAGCTTTTTGATACTTTCAACGATACATAAAAAATTTGCTTTAATGTAAGCAAGATCATATTTTACATTAAATTTATTAAAAATTGATTTACAATTTTGAATGCATTTTGTATTATCTTCTAAGTTTTCAATCACATTTTTGAACTCTTCAAAATGATCTGCGTAAAAAAAGGCTGACTCTAGCCAAGTACCCCAACGGGTAATTATTGGCTGCGGTGGTAAATGTGTAATTGGCAACATTTCTTTATATAATTGAATTCTATACGGAGCCTTTGAGATATTCTTTGAGACGTAAAATATTTGATATTATAATATTATATAAACGTACCTATGATCTATGTTTTTATTTGTATATTTGTACGGTTTTTGTTAAAATATGCAAAAATATGCAGATCATGCATTAACGTCAGAATATGCAAAAATATGCAGTATAAAATTTTGATATTTAATCAATCAAGTAATGATTTGTGGACACTCATTGACTGCATGTATATGATGTTGAAAATAACAACATGCATTTTATGCAAAATCCGGTCTTTAGTGATAAGCAATAATTTGCAGCTCATCCGCAAAATCATCCATTCAATAATCGCATATTTTTACTGTTTAAATATTAGTTACTCATGTTTTTGAATGTAAAATAAAAAACTATAATTAACCAAATGTGGTATGATGTATGAATTATCATTTAGTATGCCTACACTAATTTCAAAACTACAAATGTTAAGTACATCTGTAATTTATCAGATTATCTTAATAATTAAGTAATTTTTCTTTTGACTATTCCTTGAAAATCCTTTTCAATATTTTCTCTTCTTATACATTGAGGTCAACGAATTTGTGTATTTTACTCTGGATTTTAATCAAGAGATAACCTTAGATTTATATGTTAAGCTTTTGTATTATAGATGTATTCATTCTATGGTCGGTCCGTGTAATTCGTAATATTCATCTATATGCAGTTATTTTCAATATTCCTATTAATAATTTAAAAAAACGTGGATTTATCTGTATTAAAATCAATAATTGTGAACGGCTCAATTTAACTACACATATTACTGTTATCGATTAGTATTATATTAAGCCTAAACTATGTAGTGAACTAATTAATAGGCATTCGAATCGATTGGTGAGATATTATATAAGTAACTCATTTTTCTGCATTAGCCAGTATGTATAACGCATATGTAAATTAGTACTAAACTAAAAATAAAATATGTGGACACCTAGGTGTCTGATGACTGTAAATAAATTATACACATAGGTACAATTACTTCTATTAGATCCAATCATAATGAAATAAAATTGTTGTTTTTTTAAATGAAAACCGTAAAGAATGTCCTTTGTACATATTTGTTTCTAAACGATAATAAATCTAATATAGTTTGTACTGTTTCTGACCACTGTACAATAAGTTGATTATTTCAAGAACATTGAGTTGAGCAGGAAGCAAAATGAAAGTATTTTTATTTAGCCAAAGTTGACTCAGAATCGTGTTTCCTATAATATTGAATTATTTAAGAATAAAAAAATGATATATCACTTAGAATCTATGTCATAGATATTAACATATTTTATATCATTTTCACATTTTATTTAACAGCATTTTATACAATTTATACTTTTTATCATTTTCAAAATTATATAATTATATATTCAATTGCCCTAATTTTACAAAAAATTATATATTAGGTTTTATTAATTTTTTTACACCCACATAACATTTTGTTTGACCTAAAAGGAAAGAGTACAATTTTGGTCGAAAAGGGAATTTGCCGAAAAGAAAACGGTCTCGCCCATTACGTAATATTGGGTATGTCGGATCCTATTTTCGGAGCTCAATAATTCATAAAAGGGTATCTGTATCTATAACGAAATAACTGATATTAGTGAATTTCATCATATTATTCGATTTTTTTTTTTTTCTAAATTTGTGTTTAGCTTACTATGGCCTCATCTTCCGGAATCGAACGTTCATGATAATAATCACGCAACGCAACAGCATAACCATTACTCTAAATTCGATATTCAATTGTCACGAAATTGAACTCGCACGGGAAGCAAAGTCTCTAACTCTTTCATCAGGTATATATGCTTGTCTTAACTGGGTGTAGACTTTTCTTGGGGGAAATATTTGTAATACGAGGGGAAGCTGTATTGTTTTCAGGTGACTCATTTATCCCGCTGTATAAATTAAAATATATACATACATCAATATAATTTAACATTAAAATGTTATCACTTACACCGGTGCGAAAAATCCTGGAGGTGTTGGTAAGTAGTTATCGTCACGAATACAACACATATCTCAATATTTTATGATAAAATAATCGAATACTAAACTCAACCGCACAGTAACAATTTTAAAACACGAGAGACAGAATGATATGGTTTTTTTGTTTTTTAAAACACGACTGATTTTTTTAAGATAATTCGTGTAAAGCCGCATTCCCAAGATTGATGTACTTACCAAATACGCCAATAATTGAGCACTTGTACAGTTGTACAAGTAATCAAGTACACTGTTCCCACAGCTGATTGTTTTTAGCAAATATTGGTGGTGGAGGCCAGTGGTATAATTCAGAATATCTTATGGAAGGAGGGTTATCAAAGAATACTTCAAGGCAGACCTGTAGGGGCTTTGCCATTACACCACCTTTTTTAATACATTGATAACTCATTACTAGGACCCGGATTTTAATGCACTAAAAATTATTAAAAAATGCTCCAGAAAAAAGGTAAAAATGCCCTTAAAAAATAACTTATACATTTTTATTTAATTATTGTTTAATTGGTATCTATAATATTTTAATTTAATTAATAAAAAAAACAAAAAAAACTGAAAATCGAATATTTTGACTTGCGACAATGGATTGGGTGATAATAAATGAAGATACGATAGACAACATTGTATGTATTAATTGACTATTTATAAATTATAAGAAAAACATGTTAGAAAAATTAAACGTTCATGATTTTATATTCTAAGTATATTTAATCTATATGACCGTAATATGTATAAATACTATATATTGTATAAATATGCATTAAAAAAAAAAAAAGAAAATGATCGAAAATACTAAAATATTTTCTAAAAATGAAAAAATATTGAAATATACAAAAAAAAGCAAAACATTTCACTTTGAAGTTTCTGTTACATAAATCAAATTATAAACTTGGAAAGCATTATCTAAGAATAACCAAAAAAGATGCATTTTGACTTGAAATCCGGGTCCTATACTCATCACATATTAACATAATATTTTATTTTATTTTACGTTATAGTTTATAAAAGATGATCGCTACAAAACAATTGATAATATATTATTTAAAAATCATTTATATTGAAAACTTACTAATGAAGTTTTAAAAATTTTATCATTTTATTTTTGGTTCGTAATAATATATAAATTTGTATTTAAACTTAAAATTAAGATAAGAAATAACAATAAATAAATAAATAAATAAATACAGCATATGGGGGATCTATCCCTGTAATTATGTCCCTGGTGGAGGCGATATTTTAATATTTTCACTTTTGTGTTTTTTGGTAAAAAAAAAAAAAAATTATAACAATGTATAATTATTACATAATATAATATTATTTAATATTAGTACTCATAAACTTTGACGTCATTGGATCTGGACCAAAGTTGGCATGCTACTATTTTTCCTGATCTACATAATAAATCAGTCATGGGATCAGTAATATAAGTATACTGAGTACTGACCGTTCCTTTGACTTGTGTCATATTTACCGACAATCTTCGGAAACGGCACCAGTAACAAATAATTGTATAAGTATGCTGATCCGACGGCATGGTAAGTAACAACCAGTACCAAATATTGGCCAAGTACACCAGACTTGGGAATGCGGCAGGTTAGGTTACACAACAGATGTGTACTATACCTAACGTCTTATTATTAAACTATATCTACTGAAGACTTATCTATGTGGGCTATTTATATTCTTTACTTATTTTGTTATGATAATAAAATTTAAAATTTAATGTTCTGATAAAATGAGATGGATTTAACAATAAATTGAGTGCACTATTTAAAAAAATGTTTTGGTCACGCCTATGCCCTATACATGTGTGGGTTAACAAAAACTACATTATTTATACACTGATTTCTATCAAAAACAATCCTAGACGTTTTAAATGTACATCATTCCAGTGCTGGGTTATAAGATTGTGCCGTCATATTATATTTATTATGAGAAAATAAAATTTCCCTATTGGTCAGTGTACAAGTATTTGAATAACCATGTGTAATTGGCGGTAAATAATAATACATGCTAACATTTACAAGGTAAACATTTTAATACAAAGTATATACAAATATCTGGTATAAAATTTAAACTATTTATGTCAAAGTATTTACAAATTAAAATATATACAATTATATTTCATGAAATTGTTTTCATTTTACACTATTTATGTACAGAGTATTTTAAAAATTTTACACAAGGCCTAAAATTCGTTTTCAACCATAGTTTCAGCCAACTCTGCGTCCCTGTAAAATTTATAAATAATATAATTTTGATAATTTAAAAACAATTTAAAAAACTTACTCTATTCTAAAATGACCGTGAGCTAGGGTATGGATTTTATCTTCTAGTATCACCCTCTTATCATCATAATTGTTGTATATTATTTTATCGGTCTGGACAGTCGTCAATTGATGTTTGAATGAACGTATACACATATTCAGCTGTCTATTATTGACACCCGGCTCCATACCTTCAAACAAATATGCCCGATGACCCTCAAATGTCATATGGTTCTTAACCACATGACCCCTCACGCCTTTTGCACGGATCTGCTCCTTCACATTCATATCATCCAATCCTTGGATTTTATAAGCGTAGGATTTAGCACGGAGCGCGCAAAACTCCGTCATAATATGGCCGTCAGTCTCATCTGAAAATAGACCCGGGATCTTTTTCCTCTCAGCAATATAACACGGATGGTTTCGTGGTAAATTAGAAGTATCCATACGGTCGAGTAGATTGGCGTTCCTTGCAAGATCTTCGTAAAAGTCATCAGTGTGGATATAATATACCAGTGAATCTATAATAACAATTATTTAATTATGTATGAAACAAATATATATTAATTTATTAATTTACCGGTGTCAGTGTACATCAGCTCGATTTGATCACCATAATGCCTCTTCATCACGTTGTAGTGATAGTCGTACATTTTTGTCTTTGATATATCCAACACAGCTAAGCCTGTGGGAAGAATTATTAAATATCTATAAGAATGTAATATACATGCTATGATACATACCAATATAAATAGGTTTGTCGAATTTTATAATTTTTTTCTCCATTGTTACAGCACTCAGGTTTTCGTTGTATGGTGTCGCATATTTAAATGTGGTCAAGTTGATAAGTTTCTGCACTCTATCTTCGTTTGAAACAAGCTCCATTAGTATCCTTCGTCTAACTTGTTCCATAGTCTTACCTATCGATTTTAAAAAGGATTAGTATAAAATTGAATAAACACAAAAATTATAAAAAATACCAAAAATACTATTATTCATAAGCTTGAAGAAGTCTTTCTCAAAATCGTTCAAAGCTTTTTTTCTCATTTCGGTGTTTAAATTTATAAATTCGGCAAGCCAGGGCGATTGGTTGAATTGTAGGACCCTATGCACCTAGAATAAAATTAATCATGTCAAAAATAAATATGCATATTTCAAGATTATTTATAGATTGGCAATTGCAACTTGTAAGTACCTGTTTTATTAATATTTAGTTTTATTCTCTAGTAATGTTATGCACTCTATCGTATAGGATGTGTGAGTGACTGTTAATCATTTACAGGTAGATAGCGCAAGTAATGTAATTTATTAATATGTTCTTTACAAAAATATTATAATATAATATTATATTACATTGCGTGACGTACACGTGTTGTTGTGTAGTAAAATAAATTTATTAGCCAACAAATCCTTCAAAGAAATTTTCATAGTTGTCTAAAAAACAAAAACCATTATTTTTATATAAGATCAATGGTTGTTAAACGAAAAGTATAATAAATCTTTTTAATAAGCCCAAAAATTTTAATCTCGTACAAAATAATATAGTCTACAGTCTTATATGTCTAATACAAGTATCCATATAATTAGAATTGCTGGCCGTTGGGTTACCCTTTGTGATGTTATTTTTATGATCTGGACTGATAAATTATGTGGTATTTTAAAATTTTAAATTGAGCCTATTGGACACGGAACCGCGAATTATAATCTCGTAGGATAAACAACGATAATCAATGACGGATCAAACGGGTCAATGGTAATCTTAGCACATTATAGACGTATACAATTTACAATACACAATTTAGTCGTGTAGGTACCATGATTAACCTTAATCACATATAAAGGTACATTGTCTACTTGCTAATAGTTTTTATTTAGAAAGTACCTATGTATTTATTTCTAGAAAATCAATCAATTTCTTTGAAAATATTTAATGCTGTTAATAATTGTACCATGTACAATGCACGCTGGGGCGTAAGATGGGTTGGATCCAAAATTCCGTATAAAAAGAATTGAGTTTGAAATTTAGATTATGTAACATTGTAATTTGGTTAAAGAATTTGTCAAAATATTGTTTATTACTAATTATAACCTTAATTTATAACAGTTATCTACGAAAAAAACTATGGGGCCGACAGTTAAATACTATTGTTTTCCAAATGTCTTCAAAAGCCTTCAAGAAATTTGTGTGAACTGGGAGAAAAGTAATTATTTAACACGACTAAAACTCACTGCAACAAAATTTTTAACGATATTTTCCATAGTTATTAAAAGATGGTTCAGTGGAAGAGGTTCTGGAGTCATTACGTCTAATCCGGCTCCACGAATGCGCTTGGTTTGTAAAGTATTGACGAAATTATCTTAGTTAATTAATTCTATAAAATAATGTACATTAATATAAAAGTGTTAGTGTTTACATATTTGTATCTTGAATTTTAATATTTTATAAACCTAAACATTTTATTATTAACTCGTATTAAAATATTGGACATTTATTTTTAGTTTTATTTAAATCATTGTTAATACTGATAATCTAATTATGTCTTTATTATACATTATAGTTTTAGATGGGAATAAACCCAGATATTCAAATAATAAATAAAGCAAATAGTAAATGCGATTATATAGATAATACTTATATCACTTGTAGATACTTCTTTAGATTCTAAAATAGTCGAGTTATAGAAATGTGGACACCAATCTGAGTAGCTTACGACCCAATATTACTTATTAAATTTTTATACACCTAGGAAACCAACATTAAAATATTATTACAAATAAATACATACAAATTTAAATTAATCAAAAAATAAAATTTATTATGCCATAAACTCACAACTAAAATAAAAATAAAAACTTTGTTGTATAATACATCTACGACAAAATTACATGATTCTATTTCAATCATTAAAAAATAAATTAAAATTATGAACATGATATTGTCACATATCAGATTGAAGTTAAGTTCATGTTTTAAACATGAGTTTTTATTTTATTTTATCAGAGATAAATGACACGCATCATTTAAATAGAATTGTTTCATAGTTTTCAGGCATAATTAATATAATTATAATTTATAATGATAATACTCGGTTCCTATTTCATATTACTGTTAACTAATTTTTTTAAATATATACACTCACTGCCACGGCCCACATTAATTATCACAACGTTTGGCTTCCTGAGTGCTAGTCGATCCTTATTTATGATATACGTGGCTTCGGGCACCAAAACTGTAGCCAAAATCGCCCAAAATAATGTAATCACTACATTTAACTAAATCGTCGGTCGACATCAATTGTCCACAAGGCTTAAAGACATTTCACTGATGGCATAACAAAAAAAAAGTTGCCATTCAAACCCAACAGTGTTTTAAAATAGAAATCATTTCATCTACACTGTAGATTCTACAGTCTTACCCTATTGGGCTTTGGTCTACGGCTTGTATACAGTAGTCCATTCAATTTGAACCCGCTCAGCATTTTTGCCACCGCAATGCCAATGTTTCCGCAGTCAATTATAGCGACTATGGAATTCGTTAGGCCCATGCCAACCGTTGTTGGAAATTTACCCCTACAATCGTTTAAATACGTATCAGTCATGTCGTTATTTATATATGTTGTTATAATTATTCACCACTACACGTTTGCACCTAATAGCGCATGCGAGTTTAAATAAAGTCAATTAAATAAATTGTGAATTTGTTTGTACTACATTAACTGCTGGATGTGTTATTGTACGAACAAATGATTAAATATTTTCTTTATAATCATAATATAAATTTTAGTATTTACTATTTATTAGTTATAAAATTAAAAATAAGACTGTTTTTTTTTCTCAACCAAAATCGTCTATCAATTAATGTCTTTTAAAAGCAAAAATACTATTTTTTTTTTTTTTTTTTTTATAATGTGTTGTAAACGTTAAAAAAAAAGTTAAAAATTAAATTATACTTATGTTTGAAATTTACGATTTTATTTGTTGGTTTGCATCGAGAAAATTTCTTGCTGTAGCAATATTAATAGACTAACAGTGAGTTTTGCAATTCTATCTGTAGCGGCGAGTGCAGTGTTGCATAATACAATCCCTCGTTTCTTCAGAATATTTTTTTCAATGGAATCGTAACCCATAGACGTTAAACCAAGAACTCTAAGACTAGGACCTAGGAATTACAATAGATTTAATATATTTCCCTTGAATAAAATGTAAATTTATATCTGTTTAGGTAGATCATCAATTTATCAATTATAGGCGGTCCTTCAACCCTTGGAAAAAAGAAGAATAAACGATCAATATGATAGAATAGAATCATTAAAAATTAAATCAAAGAGATGTATCGAAGATAAGATCGCACAAGTTTTAACGTATCTATTTTCTACAATTTTAACGGACTTTATAAAATTAATACAATTTACAAATTGTGGCCAATATAGTAAGAAAACTAAAGTATGGTTTCATTTAAAAAAGTTAAATACTAAATCAATATAATAAAACTATAACGAATTATAAAAATGTAATTTTTGTACATGTTTATTTCTGATTATTTATAATAAACAAATCTATAGATAAAAAAAAAAAAGTAGAATATATATAATCTAATCAAATTTATTTTTAGTATAAAATTTTTATGTAATAAAAAAACAATTAGAGTTGCGTAAATATTAAATTACTAATTACAGTAACTCATAAAAATATATACAATTTTAGATTCTGAGAAGAGCGATTATGCATTGATTTTTAATTGGTGTGTGTTTAATTTTTTGCATTTGTCACTAACCTTTTGTAGCAAAGTAAAAATACTTAAATTTTCAATTTTAATAATAGTTTTAGGATATAATTGGTACTCTAGGGTTAAAAAGTAAAAGCTCCATAGTAGTGCTGTACTTTTAAAAATAGTTGGCGAAAATAAAAATAACAAAAGAAAAATAGGAATATTTATGTAAAAATATATTTCGAAAAAATTGTTTTATTTTATAGTTGTAATTTAAAATGAATTGCTTACTGATCAATTTAATAAATCTTTATAATAGTATTTAATAGATATGATATAATTTTGAAAATATTATAAATAATTTTGTGTCATTTAAAGATATTTAAAATTTTCAACTTTTTATTTATTTATTTATTTATTTATTTTTTGAAATAATATGTGCAATAAAATATTTGTTTATCAGTTAAAAGTCTTGGAAATTTAATACAAAGTTATTAATAAGTTGTTTTTACAGAAATTAAAAAATATTAAAAATCCTAATCACAGTTTTATTTTTTATAAAATATAAATTAAAATTAGCAAGCAATTTTATATAAAAAAATATATTCTATTGATTACTAGTTAATGTATGAGATATTTTTAATAAAGAATAATTCAACATATTGTATTACTTATAAAGAAAACAAATAAATTACTTATTACAATATAATTATTATAAAACAAAATATCTTTAAAAAAATATATAGAATTTAGACTGACAGAGATATACTGTTTTCATTTAGAATTGTATACAATTATTATTTATTATTCAATTCAAATTAACACACCCTTTTCAGTGACCTACACAATGATGTGTTACACTCGACACCTACTAGATATACAGCAGAGAAAATTTTCTATTCTTTTAAATAATTTTTATTTACAAAATCATTAAATATTATTAATTGAAGTTATGATACAGAACTCTTTATGATAATTTAAAATACACACTATATCTATATATTATTTTATAGGTATTATTGATTTTATTTTTTTTAATACATTGGTTTACTTTTTCGGGTAAAAACAATTTTTAACAGAACATTAAAAATATTATAACTTATTTACCTGCTTCTTTGATAACTTGTTCATCTAAAGTTAGATTAATACCGAATAAAAGCAATCCAAACTTCCCAAAAAGATTATCTAACAGATCTTGTTTAGTGGTGTAGTCCCTGGGATTGTTGATTATTTACTAGTTAAACCTATTGAATTATATAGTATATTTAATTATAGTTTACATATTGTTGTGTAATTAAAACAAATATGTAAACATGGTTTAAGTAAAATAAAATATACGTAACATTTTCATCAACTGCCCAATGATTGCTAGTGGAAAAT